ATGGGGCCCTTGGTTGCAGTTCACTTTTGTGCCGCCCAAATCACAGAACCTCAATGCCGCAAAGCGGCCGACGTGGAAAAACAACCCGCCCAACAGACGCGTCCCATTTTTATGTTAAAGCTTTCCGTATCCATATGGGTATGGGTCAAAATTAAACCACCAGGGGGCCGCAGGTTTTGGTCCATGTTTCCAATTACCAAGGTTCCATTTTGGGTACAATTTTTGACCCACCGCCATATTCGCCGAAAATCACGCCCTCCGTGCTCCAAGCCTGACCAAAGCGCTGATCAACGGCCGAAATGTGTGTGCACCCAGTTTTTAGCTCCTGTCAGAAAGATTGAGAGATAAAGTCAAGGCGGCTCCTTCCCAAGGACCTCCGTGCATCATCACTAAGCGAAGATCCCGCTTTGCTATCTGCATCGCTAATGCAGACAAGCTGCGTGTTCGGCAAACCCCCTGGCACCGTGGGTGCACAGAGCAAGCGGGGGAGGCCGGTAAGCAACATCATCCCACACCGAAGGTCTGCGAAGATTAGCTATAGCACCAGCTGACGTGGGCAATTGTGAAAGACCCCCTTCCGAGGTCACATGCCAGGCGCCTGAATGCTCTTAAGCGGACAAGGCTCGAAGCAACATGTGTGCCAAAACAGGATCAAGGGCTAGGGCTGTCCACCTTAAGAAGAGCCCATGTCATTCCCAGGTAAAACTCAGCCATGCAAGCACTGGGACGAGCGGTTCACATACTCCTGTGTGATTCGCAGGCCAAGGTTCAAAGCCAAGCCCCCCAAGATCCTTCTCTTGCCCAGCGCCCCTAACAATCGATAAACTGGTCCGGACGCCACAAGGAAACAAAACCAGCGGGCAGAAAAGGCGCAGGTTGACCCCCTTTTCCTGCACAGTGTCCCTTTTGGACAAATGACGGCAGCAAACTGAAGCCACATTGAAATCGCTGGTGAATGATTGGATTCCATGGGTTTCCCAGCTTGGCTCAACCTGGACATCATCTATGCGCAAGATGTGCGGCCCGATCAACACATTCACCAGCTACCGAACCAGTTTCCAGTTCGAACTTCGGAGCCTAAACCCTCCGCCCCGAGAATGACACGCCCTTTGGACCAACTCTTTGGATTCCTGAAGTTTGTGTCAAAACAGGGCCCCGCTTTTGGAAGGGGCGGTTTTCCATTTGTCCCTCAAGCGTGACACCAGAGTAACTGGACTGTCCTCATATCCCCCGCTACAAGTTTAACCTTTGGTGGGTGAACTGGAAATCCCCGCGAAAAAGCCAAATCGCTAAAGCGCTCAAGAAGCGGAAAGTTCAACTTTCAGTGGCTTAAATGGAAATCCCCTCTAAACATTCAAAAAGGGAGGACGGTCGCATACGACCCTACCCGCCGGTCACATTTGACCCTACCCTACTTTGGCTTCAAAAACCATGCCAACATGGCAGCGTAAAGCTCCAATTCCACGACATGGCCACGCGAAACGCACCGGTCACATTTGACCCTACCCTACGTTGGGCTCAAGCAACATGGCCAACTGGCAAAGAAATGGCAGCATCAAGCTCCAAGTCCACGACATGGCTACGCGAAACGCACCGGTCACATTTGACCCTACCCTACTTTGGGCTTAAAATCAATGCCAAGTGGCAATACTATGTTCCAATTCCACGGCAGGGCCACGCGAAACACACCGGCCACAAGCGACCCTACCCTACTTTGCGTTCAAGCAACATTGCCAGCTGGCAACGAGATGGCAGCATCAAGCTCCAATTCCACGGCAGGGCCACGCGAAACGCACCGGTCGCATTTGACCGTACCCTACCTGACGGTTTCTTGCCAAATGCGTCACTTTAGGTCTTGAGGCTTTTACATCGCTTTCAGGTATAGTCATCACATCACTTTAGGGCTTTCTGGTTTGCTGTCACTTCTTTAGTTAGTCACCACATCACTTTAGGGCTTTCTGGCTTGCTGTCACTTGTTGAGGTAGTCACCACATCACTTTAGGGTTTCTGGCGCGCTGTCACTCCTTTAGGCAGTTACCACATCACTTTAGGGTTTCTGCTGCGCTGTCGCTTCTTCAGGTAGTTACCACATCACTTTCAGGGTTTCTGCTGCGCTGTCACTTCAGGTATAGTCACCACATCACTCTAGGGTTTAGGGTTTAGCTGTCACTTCTTCAGGTAGATACCACATCACTTTTAGGGTTTCTGCTGTGCTGTCACTTCAGGTATAGTCACCACATCACTCTAGGGTTTAGGGTTTAGCTGTCACTTCTTCAGGTAGTTACCACATCACTTTTAGGGCTTCTGCTGCGTTGTCACTTCAGTTATAGTCACCACATCACTTTGGGGTTCTCTGGTTTGCTGCCACTTCTTTAGGTAGTCACCACATCACTTTAGGGTTGCTGCTGCGCTGTCACTTCTTGAAGTAGTCACCACATCACTTTTAGGGTTTCTGCTGCGTTGTCACTTCAGTTATAGTCACCACATCACTCTAGGGTTTAGGGTTAGCTGTCACTTCTTCAGGTAGTTACCACATCACTTTTAGGGCTTCTGCTGCGTTGTCACTTCAGTTATAGTCACCACATCACTTTGGGGTTCTCTGGTTTGCTGTCACTTCTTCAGGTAGTCACCACATCATTTTTAGGGTTTCTGCGCGGTGGCCAACGCGGGAGAACCACCACCTGACAAATAAATGAGCACGCAAAAAGCCACCACCACCTGGTCGGCACGCACGGGCCACAACAGTACAAGACAACAACCAAGAATGCCCGTGCACATTGCCTCCAACAACACAACTAACATACGCGATCATCCTTCCATAACAAAACAAAAGGCTCCGGTCACATTTGACCCAACCTCACTCTCAAAGGGGTTCCCTTGAGTTGCTCGTTTTTTACGACGGAACAGGGGCCCCGGTCACATACGACCCTACCTCCGGTCACCTTTGTCCCTACTGGATCTGTTAGATACATCGAATGCTGCGTTCCAATTCCACGGTAGGGCCACGCGAAACGCACCGGTCACATTTGACCCTACCTCACTGTCAAAAAGTGGCTCTTCAGTTGCATGGTTGTTACAACGGAACAGGGGCCCCGGTCACATGCGACCCTACCTCCGGTCACATTTGACCCTACCTCATCGTGAGGTAGGGTCAAATGCGACCACGTTGAGGTAGGGTCAAATGCGACCGTCCTGCCTTCATTCAAAAAGGCTCATGCACCGCTAAACCGCTAAACCGCTAAAGCCCTAGACTGGCAAACCGGTAAACCGGAAAACCGCTAAACCGCTAAGGAACCGGATGGCCGGGAGCCACCAAGGTAACCGCCGGCACCGCGCCCCATGTGTAGAACGCGTAGAACGCCACGCGCCCAACAAAACGCCTGGCCTGGCTGCCGCGACACGGCGAGGCCCTTGCCGCTGGACCCGGGCCCGGCGATGGTGTCCGAGGGCAAGGCGCCCAGGCCGTAGACCCCGAAGTAGTAGGGCAGCTCGATGTCCAACTGGGGCTTCAACACACATTGGATTTTATGTTCTTAGTTTTTTGTTGATCTGTTTTTTTCTTCATCATTTTTTTGTAAAGAAGAATATACACAAGTGGGTTTAGGGTGGGTTTGGGTTTTAGGGTGAGTTTAGGCTTCGTGTGTGTTTTTGGGATTGGGCTTGTGTCAGACAAGGTGGGCTTCGGGTGGGTTTAAGATAGGTTGGGATGGGTTGGTAGGATAGGTTGCGTGTAGGTTTGGGTGGGCAGGATAGGGTTAGGATAGGGTTAGGATAGGGTTAGGGTGAGTTTGTGCGTAGGATGGGTTTAGGGTAGGATCGGTGTTCAATCCAACCAGCGTGCAAACTGTAGGATTCTGGTGCGTCAGGTGCTTTGGCCGCCTCGGGGTGAGTGTCAAACTCTGGGATTCAGCCTTCTCAACCCTCTCCATTGGCATCCCCCAAATTTCAAATATGAGACCAAACAGCTATTATTTAAACACCCTCTCCTTTTACCGCCCTGCAGGAAAATTCGGACCCTCCAAACGCGTCTTGGTACAAAGACTGCTTTTGGAAGACTGTGGATGACGACTGTCCGTTTGTAAACGTGGTCTGTGCAACAAGCTGTATCCCAAGCAGGTTCTTTTGGAGCCCTGAGGGGAAAGAGTGGCCAACCTCGAAAAAGCAATGTACACTTCCATGAAGCCCTGTTTGGTGATTCTCCTTGACACTCATGTTCAATTGGACCACTTTCCAGTCCAAAGGATCCGGCTAATACATGGAACAGAAGTCTGGCGGCTTGAGGCTTAAGCATTCAGCAAACGATTCCCTCAACAAGAGCAATCCTTCCAAGTCAACTGGAGATGGAAAAGCCCAAGGACGAAACGAGCAAAATGGTGACAGAAAATGGTGACTGAAGCAGCGGGAGACTGTCACTGGTCAAATGTTCAGAGGCCTGCATGAGAATTGGGTGATATCAGAAGCTAGAGTATGCGAGCTGACTGACGAATGTCCTACATGGCTCAGTTCGACTATCCTCGCTCACTTTTTCTCCCGCTGAGATTCAGCTGACCAAGATGGCGAATTCGGCACTTCTGAAAGCCGGGCACCGTACATGAGAGGGTTGGCGCATTTGCAACGCATTGCCACAGCGCAACTCATCATTTTGCTGTTATTCTCGTTACGTTCCTCCATTCGTGGTGCCCGAAGCGAGAACTGTACACAGAGGCGCCGATTTTGAGGCCAATCTTGCGGAGCGGTCAACATCTTTCGCATCGAAGCGTGCGTCTTATCCACGGCGCTGCGTGTCATGCTGCAACCTTACGGCCCCAGCGTCGGCCTGGCTTAGGGCCTTCGTCATAGCCGCCCCCACCCACGCTTTCGGCGGATGGCGGAAAAGCCGCAGGTGGAGTTGGCGCAGTCAGAGTCGCAGTCGGAGTCGAAGTCACGGTCAGTGGGTCAGGAGACAAGTGGAACACAAAGGGGTCCACCAACAAGGCACGGACCCGCTGCGCGTCCAGGTCTTCCCGGAAATATGAGCCCGTGTTGTCACCCACACAGGGCACTCTGTACATGGCCAGGTGTTTCGCTCCCCTGCGCTGCTCCTGTCGCAACCCTGCCCCTGGAACAGGATCCATAGGTTTGACTCTACTCATGCATTGGCTTGCATGGTGGGGGTTTCCTTTTTGCGGAGAAACCAAGCAAACCAGGAGGAGAACCACATGCTTTTTGCGTTTTTTTTCCTGTTTTGACACACATCTCCCAGAAAAGGGGCGGGGGGCATCGATCGGGGCCGGTTATGCTTTGACCCCTCCTGGAGCAGTTCCGGCACCCTTCCAGCAGCCTCAAAGCCCAGGTTCTTCTTGCAGTCCAGCACCAAGAACCTGGGGTTTGGGGATACCTCCATTTGCTTAAGCCCCCTGGAAAAAATCAAAACTATTTCCAGTAGTGATCGTTTCCGCTTAAAACCAACAGAGGAAAATAACACATATTCTTAAACAAATGGAAGGATAGGTTGCGGCTTCGGTTGCCTGAGGCATTTTTGCGCGGCTGATCCGGACCTTAAGGGACCCTCCCATGGAGCCACCCCGAAGAGCGCTTTGATCTCCTCATATTTCCCATGCGAAGTGACCAGTGCAGCTGCAGAAACTCAGAGCTTGGGTTGATTGGTCTCGGCTGTTGGGTCCTCAATGGTCCCAACGAGCCCCGTTGTTCATGGGCTTGACATGATTCCACGATGCTAATCCTCCAAACTCAGAAGGATGGCCTCTTGGCGACAAGCCAGCATTGGTCAACACAGTGCCTGAATCCGAGCTTTGCTGGCCAAGCGCAGCACTAACCGTTCTTTTGAATGCCCAAGCAATGTGTCCACTCATGGAACGACCCTCTAACCTCCATTGGGCTTTTGATTTTGCTCAAACGGCGAAAGGCACAGGATGCAGGATACACCTCCAAATCAGCAGTGTCACATGGGGGTCCTTGCAATCAATTCATCAGCATGGATGTTCAACATGAGCAACATGTATTCTTTGTGGAATCCTGAAGCATGAGAACTCGGCACTAATCCCATGGTTCATCCATGGGTTTCTTTCTCATCCTTTGCTTTTGAGGAACCAGGTTCTTGATGTCCGGCCCCAAACCCATCTTCCTTCCCCAGGTCCACCTAACCACTCGCCGCGGGAGCTGAATGGCACCCTGTTGTCCCCCTAGGTCCATAGGTGGCTTGGTCGGGGAACCCGTAGTGTCTGCACAGTGGTTCTATATCCCATGGGTCCATAGGTGGCCTTTTGGAAAAATAGATGGGTTTCCCTGGAAATGGAAAACAAAACCCATCCAAACCAGTGCCATCTATTTTTAACCAGGCGCACCCAAAAAGGACACCTATGGTGGTGACCCTCAAAAACCCAGGGGAAACAGATCCGGTTTTTGAAAAGAACGATGGTTTTTGAAAAGAACGATGGTTGAAAAGAATGGAAAAGGAATCAACCCCTAGAACAGTGCATGGTTCTATATCCTAGGTCCTCCAGTAGAGAGCTTAGAATAAGGGTACCCTTCTTTCTGTAGTCTATTTTTGCAGGGAAACCCTTCCCCAAAAAAGCAACGGTAAAAGCGCACTATTGGGGGACCTAGTATCCCACGGGTCCCGCTGGTTTTGGGCGGTCAATCCAAGGGACAGGAAGTTGTCGCTGCGCCGGCAGAGCTCCTCGAAGAGCTCGAGGATGTCCTCACCGAAAGCCCAGGGGAAGATCCTTGTTACAGGGATCCGGATGCATTATACACCTGAACATTGCCTTGCAATGGTGGTTTCCAACTGATTTTTGGTGTTGAAAAAGCAACATGTTTCAAATGGTGGCAAAAGGGAGATCTTTTAAGGAGCCCTGTACAAGTTAGGATTCTTGTGTTTTGATGGGAAAGCCGAGGGGAAAATCCACCTTTTCTAGGATCCCCATTTGAGACTCCTTTTGATCCTTGCTCCAAGTTACAAGATGATCAACTCACAGTGGAAAATTGGCAAAGCCAGTGGAGTCAACGCACTGGTGGAGTTGCCGGAGGGCATTTCTGAGAGGCCCTAAGCAAGACCATCACCACCCGGACTTAGAGAAGTCCCTTTCAACGCATTCGGTTTTTCGATGTGTCCTTCCGCCGGAACGTACAAGAAAGCCTGCTTTTTTTTTTTTTTTAATCAATAAGTAGAAACAAGTTTAATGTATTTCAGTGCTGTTGCCAGGGACCGGCTTGCGAAACGCAGCGTCGTTGGCCCAATACTGATTTCTGGGCCTGTTTCTTGAAACACATGCTTGTTCTGCATTAAGACCCGCAGCAAAAAAACGTCAAACCGCTGTGTGGAGTCCAGAACTGATGTCTGAGCATGTTTTGGTAGAACGCTGGCTTTTCATTGCTATTCACAGGGAAGGGCGGGGTGTAAAAACTGATTTCTGGGCACACGTTTGCCTGTTTCAAGGGACAGGAAATCTGAATTCTAGAAATCCTCCGGTCGGAAGGGTTGTTTGCCCAACGACACAAAATGGCCACTAAATGTGTACAACAAAACATTTCTGGCACCCAACACAGTTTTCGGATTCTATAAGAAAGACTGGCCTGACCAAGCCACATTCAAGAACTGCGTCTGGCAGCTACGGCAGAACTGAAAAACAATTTTAGACTGCTGAACATGGATTTGAAGTGTCACCTCGCTTCAAATATGTCCCATCTCGCCTGGCCAAACCAGGGGTCCAGGTGTTGAAACGGCAAAGGTGACGCAGAGGACGCGGATCACAATCGGTCGCTATGTATTTCAACATCCACAATATGCTTGATCGTTGGAAGCGCCTTCCAGGCATCAAGAATTGGGTCCACGAACATCTGAACGCAACTTCGACTCCCCTCCTGCTCGATCCAAAGCTGGTGGTTGAGGTTCATCATTACGAAGAGCTTCCTTTCCCCGGACGCAAGCACCTGGACTGATGATGCAGGAAAAAGCTCAGATCAAACTCAAACGTCTACACCTAAGTATCGCTTCTACCATAGTATAGGCTAAACTGTATTGATCTTACCAAACGTTGACCCATAAAAACAGGTGTGCAAAAGTCTGTAGTCGGCACCAGGCGGAATCGATCCACGCAGCGCTCCAGGTACACCAAGTCCTCCTTGTTGTGGAGAGGGTCCCTGGCAAACGGATGCAGCCTTAAACGACTCCCCCAAATCTGAATCTGACTGGGACCTGCAAGCAAATGTATGCGATGTACATTGATTAGCCATATACAGGTGTATGCAAAACAGGGGAGGTGCATACACACATATACAGTACACTTTGAAAGGGGCCTTGCAGTGGTCGCAGAAAGGTAACCCTTCTAGGCGCAACCTTGGTGCAGGGAGCCCGCAGGTCGAGGTCATTTTAGCTGGGAACTCTCTTGACTGCGAGTACCCAGGCTTGGTTCAGCTCAGATTTTCCAATCCAGCGCTTTTCGCGTTCCTTACAAGAAGGATATGGGCGTGTTTCTTGAAACATGCTGCACTTGTGATGGAGTGGCCACCTAAGTTGAGTCCATTGGAGAGACAGAGAGAGAGAGAGAGAGAGAGAGACAGAGAGACAAAAAAAGAAAGGGAGAAAGAAAGAAACACAGAAAGAAAGAAAGAAAGAAAGAAAGAAAGAAAGAAAAAAATAAAGGTAGAAAGAAATAAAGAAAGAAAGAAGGAAAGAAAGAAAGAAAGAAAGAAAGAAAGAAAGAAAGAAAGAAAGGTAGAAAGAAAGAAAGAAATAAATAAATAAAGAAAGAAAGAAAGGTAGAAAGAAAGAAAGAAAGAAAGAAAGAAAGAAAGAAAGAGATAGCCCATTGTCTTCATCGGGCGTTTTCACTCGCTGTTCACTCCCCAACACGATCGGGACGTGTAGGTGTGAACTTGTTGCCAGTCAACCCTGCTTCACCTGTAGTGTTCCAGAACATCACCTACGTGGATGGGCATGTGGCCGTGGGTCAAAACCCAAATCGTACCCCCAGTGAACATCCGATTCAATCCCCACTAAAATAGGTTCTAAAAGGGTGCGGATGTATTTGTTTTTCCGTCCGAACCAGCAAAAGGTTGTATTTTACAGCATTTTCTCGCGAAATTGACGCATTTTACACCGGCCCGTCAACATCCCCAGCATCGTGTTCAACATCCCCCGCATGTCCGACCAACATCCCTAACATCACCAACAAATCGTGGGTAACAAAATCGAAAAGTAGCTGGCGGGTTGACAGGGTCAAAAAAATGATGATTCAAATAGGAGGGCATTTCAGTCCCTGTAAAAAGTCACTAAAAAGTAGCGGGGGGTTGGGGGGGGCGGCCCATGATGTTTGCAGAAGTGATGATTCGAATAGGGGTGCAACTCAATCTCTGCAAAAAGTCTAAAAGTAGGGTGGGGGCGGGGGTTGGGGGCGAAGAATTGATGATTCAACTAGGGGTGCAATTAAATCTCTGTAGAAAATCTAAAACGTAGCGGGGGGGTTGGGGGGGGGCGGCAGCCCCCCCCATGATGTCGGAAGAAGTGATGATTCAAGTAGGGGTGCAATGATTCAAGAAAGGGTGCGATAGAATTTAAAAGGCAGCGGGAGGGTTGGCGGGGGTGGCTTCTCCTATGATGTTCGAAGAAGTGCATACATACAGACATACATGGATTATACAGATTACCAAACATTTTCGTATTTTGCAGCATTTTCTCGCGAAATTGGACGCTCGAAAAAGTGATGATTCAAATAGGGCTGCAATTCAATCTCTGCAAGAAATCTAAAAAGTAGCGGGGGGGTTGGGGGGGGCGGCAGCCCCCCCCCATGATGTTTGAAGAAGTGTTGATTCAAATAGGGGTACAATTACTCTGCAAACAATCTAAACAGTAGCGGGTGGGTTGGGGGGGGGCTTCCCCCCATGATGTTCGAAGAAGTGATGATTCAAATAGGGCGGAACTGGTGATGCTGATGATGCGGGAAGCAAAATCCAAAAACCAAAGGGTGCAAAAGCCAAAAAGCCAAGAGAGGAACCTGTGAAAGCAGAGGATGCGAAAAGCCAAAGCCAAAAAGCCACCAAAAGCCGCATGAACCAACAACAAGCCGAAAGGTCCAGAAGCCGAGAAGCCAAAAAGCCAAGAAGCCAAGAAGCCAAAAGCGGAACAAACAAAAACCAAAAAACACAAACGAGAAAAAAACAAAACACAAAACAACATCCCAAAATAAATACCCCTCGGTTCTAAAATAAGTGGTGAATTCACCAACCAAAATTTGAGATCCCATTGGCTCAAAGGTCTGCTTGGCCGAAGGACGCGTCCTTTGAAACGTGATCGGGAGCTGCCGGTGCCCAAGGCCTAGCCCCACTGATGGGTTTCCTTTCGATTCTCTTCTTGTATGAATATAGATTGCCCTTAGTTTTCGATTCCCCTTATGGATTTCTGACCTTCATTTCAAAGGTTGGCCCCAAATGTTGACACACAAACCCCCTGTTCCGCCTGTGGTTGAAGATGGTGCCCCGCCCCACGCCGCAAGTCATGGACCTCGGAATTCCAGCCCGGGGCCTTTCCGCGCCAGAAGCGACCCCTGGAGTTGGCTTCAAGGAGTTGCCTGTTGATCCCCTGGGAAAATAATTGCCTGGACCATGGGTTAATGCCCCATAACCATGGGGTGAACTCCCTTCTTTCTGGGCAGTTTGAGGGTCCAGGTGCATTGAAGGAAGCAACAGGCGTTGGGCAAATTGTAACTTTGAGTAGACAACAGGCTGCAAAAGAGAATTGAACAAGATATACTGATTACTCAATTTATGTTAAGAAGCAAGCAGGTTATGATTGGTGAAGTTGGGCAATGTCAAGATGAAATCCAAAGGACCTTTCGGGACCTGCGGGTAAGGCCGCAAGCTCCTGTTTCTGAAGTCGCTACAAGTCGCCCAAATTCCATCACGGGAAGATTGGCTTGCGCCCAACTCAGAACCGCCAGCTCTGGTTTGGCCCTGCCTGTCCAAAGCAACTCCAATGGGTCCAAAAAGGGTGTCCTCGAAAACGACGCACCGTCACCCGAGTTAGGATATTGTTCGTTTGGTGCTTTGGTTGGATGTTGTCTCTCCTTCTGCCTGTTAAGATCCATTCTGACCCGATGAAAAGCAGAAGGCGCCCAACACAAAGTTTGATTTTAGCCCGCTCAGGCAAGCGAACATCACAGAGTCAATGTGTGAATCTGGTGCGCAAAGGAACTATAACCTATTGGTAGTCATGCTTCCTCTGCCGGCATCGACATCGAGGGGCGAGTAGGTGTTGTGGGCGATCAGCCTCCTCTCTCTTGGCGCAGATCCTGGTTTCAGCCCGATCGCGTCGAAGGAGCTACCGTTCCTCGAGGAAGTGGCCGCAAGGGAAACAACCGGGTGTTTCTAATTCTTTTTGGACCATGGGCGGTTTCCCTGTGGCAGCCCAGGTGAAAAGCATCCAATGGGTCCACCATTTTGAGAAACCCCCAGCTGTCGAAACAAGAGTGAACAGGTGTTAGAACAAGGTCGGTCAACCTTGGATACGCCTCGCTCATATGGAATCCACATCATTTCCTCCTGGCTTACAGTTGGGTAAAAGTAGATGGCACAACTCCCCTACGTTGGCTCAGTCAGCTCCTTTAGTTACCTACATGAAGGGAATTGCGCCATCTGCTTTCATTCTGCTGTAGTTTCCAAGCGCGCAGAGCTGAACATGGACCTGAAGCGAGAAGCTCGCCAGCGGCATATCCAATCTGCAAACTAGTTCCAATCTGTCCGTCAAAGTCAAGCCATCGATGCTACGTCTGAACTTCATTGAACGGGACTGAGAAGTTTGAACATCTCACCAACATTTGAAGTTCCCTTTCACATCTTTATTTCAGCTTGGGCTCTAACCAAGGTTCCGCCCCCTCCCACCGGGTTTGGAATTCCTGCAAGTTGGATTTCAGCCTCCCCCCTACCCGGGCACTTTTCATTGGGTTGTGGAGTTGGATTTCATCCCAGGCTCTGATAGTACTGGTCCCTGTCCAGAAACGCCTGGAAGTCATCTCGCAGGCAGTGGGTGATCATGGCGGCCGAGCTGAAGATCCAATCGAAGGGGCACGCATAGCCTTAGATGCCCAGTGGATGTCCATGGGAAAAAAAGGGCACCCCTTTTTTTGGTTGGTTCCGCCACATTGCTCAAGACCCCACCCCACCCCAATTGGAGGGAGTGGAACCCACATCCCGGCCGAAGCCAAAAATCAGGCCGTCCCGCTTGGCAAAGCATGAATTAAATCCATTTAGCAGGAGCTTGTGGTCAGCATGCGTTAGCAAAAACAGGTTGAGTTGAAAGGAAAACCCTTACCCTATAAAAAAGGAGAAACAAAAGGCACCCATGTTTTTGTCTTGTTGAGTTCTTTTGGGGGAACCCTTACCCCAAAAAAGGAAAACAAAAGGCACCACTGGGCAGCAGAGCAGCGCCTCTGCCCAAAGGACTTGAAGACGGAGGCTTGCGAGCAGCGGCAGCCCAAGGAGATCACGTGCCGGAACTCATCCATGGCTCGGTCAGCCCGCCGTGGGTTCTGTGGGGTTTGTTCGGATGCTGCACACCTGGCCTTTGATATCTATCTACAAATATTGCGATCATTCTAAATCCTGCTGAAATACAAGCTGGATCCCTAAGGAAAGAACCTTCAGAGCTCATGTTGCCATTCGAATCGGTGAGCTCGCCTTAAAATTCGCAGATCTATGCCGTAAATGGGAAGTTCGAACGGCCTTTGACTCTAAGGTTAGGCCCAGTGGTGCAGCATCAGCTGCCATTGCTACATGTTCCAGTGTTTGCTTTCATGATGCGACTTGTCCCCCAAGAACCAGTCACTCGTCTTCCCACACCTTCTTGTCAGCTTCAACGGGGAGCACAGCCATCCGTGTTCTGCAAAAAGCAACAAGTCCATCTGGCTCCATCGAGTGGCTCCGCTCAAAGCTTGAGACCGGGTGGAGTCACGTAAGGACTGCGGGCCAGCATCTGGTGGGCTGTTCAACGTGGAGTGGTCAATTCGGTTGTCCATCCCTATGGCACAACCACTAAGAGAACCAAATCCTTTCGTAGCCCAAGGTGAGGATTTCAACTGGATTTCAGGATAGCCCTTGAACAGCCCAGATCAAAGGTTTTGAACACCACTTGTCCAGCGGCTTTTAAAGTGAAGCAAAGAAGTGGAAACTCAGTAAGCGTGGGGATCAGGAAGGATTCTTGTGCTTTGCGTAGCCCCACATCTTCCCGGGTTCCCAGAGTAGTCTTGAATGAGCACACAGGCATTCCGCCTGTCCACTCCTTTCCTGCTTTTGTCAGACCCTGCTTCTTTGTTTCTCTCATAAAGGGGTCTTTGGCCTAGCAAATAAGCCACCTTGCCGCTTGCAAAGGAATCTCCAAGACCTCTCTGTGGAGCTGAACAAGATCGCTCCGACCCAGTCGGCATTTTGTGTGGGGGATCCCTTGGTGGACGCCATTTGCATAGGAGAGTTTCCCATCAAAATACATGCGCCGTGCTGCAAACTCTTGCGGCACGTGCTACTCAAGCAGCAGCGGTCAGCAGTCAGCAGATGTTGGTGCCAATGTGAATTGAAGAAAACAGCTTCGTGTTACTGAAACGAAACCGGATCTCATGTGGCAGGTGGCGGACATCTGGGTGTTGAAGTCGTGTCTGGACATCATAATATGAACATGTATGAAGTTTGCTTGCGGGGAAATCGGGAAACATTGGAGCTATTGAGCACCCAGCCAACCTTTTGATTATCACCTCTATAGTTTCCCCCTAGCTTCATAGTGATCCACTTGTGATAGAATCAGTGGATAAAGGAAGAGCTGCAAGATTTCAACGTCCCCTCGCCATCACCAAAGCAAGCACCGAAGCACGGAAGCAGGACCTCTCCACAAGCATCGCTATAGCCCCGGCACAACAGCACACAGTTACATCTTGAGGACATCAGGTTCAGGACACCAGTTGGTTTTCAAACAATCGGGGCAAAACACTCTAATCGGAAATCAGCCCCCCACCCCGCAAGAAAAGCCCAAGAAAAGCGGGCCTGGACCTTCATCAGTGGAATCCGTCGGTTCTTACTGCCCGAAACAGTGAGCTAGCGAACGGAATCGCTCAACTGCACCACGGTCGGGCCTTGTGAGTGCCCGGCAGGAGGAACACCGCGGTGCGGTGCGTGCCAAACTGGCTTTCGTAGTCCCAGCTGATCTGCCGGAATGGATGATCGATTGTTGAAACGGATGCGCAAACGACAGTTCAGTGGTGCGGATGGCGAATCTCGGCTATGGCGAATCTCGGCTATGGCGAAGCTTGGCTCCCACTCTGACTCTGTTTCTCTCTCTTGACAAACATATTTGTCGCCATTGTCAGAGACTTCGGCGGTCGGTCTGTGGTTGGACTTCCCCCCTGTCCCGTTTTGCCGTCTGTTGCAGGGCAAAAGGCTCGCGTGAGTGTGTGGTTTGCCTAGAGCGGTTTGCCCAGAGCTTGTTGGGAAGGGACCCTTCCTTGCTCGCTTCACTAAATTCAGCACATCTCGCAGCAAAGAGCCTTTCCCTCGTGGTTGCTATCTTTCGTCTCCTTAACGGCTTGCAGGGGTTTCAGACTATGGGAAGATTGCAACATTACAGAAACACAACTGGAAGACTAATGCATAAATATTACCCCATGCACTAAGGGCGGCGGTTCGGGGCTGTTGCCTTTTTGTGTTGTTTCAAATCTAATAACTGTATAATCTGGGTGGGGTTGAGTCTTGTAGAAATCAATATTGAGGTGGATCAGCCCCAAACTCGCAGTTCTGCAAAACGCGGCCTAGGTCGGTCTGGCTGGCCAGGTTCTGATTCTCACTATCTACTGACTATTGTCTTCTATTCTCACTATTAAGCCGCGGCTATGTCTCCTCCTTTCCAGTTCGTGCCGAACACTCACATCCACTGAGCCTCCAGGATGGTTGTCGCGTGTTGCATTCAGAGTGCAAGCCGACACAAGTTGGGGTTGGATTGCTGGCTACGCAAAGGCCACTGGCAAAAGGCTCTTCCCTGGGTCTTCGCATCATTACGAGGGCGCATTGGGCTTGTTGCACTGGGACCATTGGCACCCTGGGGAGGCCCCGCAGAACACCGGGGCCGAATTTGAATTTGTCCCCTCGCAAATGCCGCTGTCGCTTTTCCTCAGCTTCTTGTCGCCAGGAGACAAAACCAGGTGCCGGCCCTTCTCTTTCGGATAAATTCCTGGGTGAACCAAATTAGGAACGAACAAAAGAACAACAAAAGGAGAAGAGCTCTCAACGGAGAAACGAAGGATAAAAGGGACAAACAGAACAAAGGGTTCCTTTCGACCAAAAGAGAAACGAGCAAACATCAACACAACGAAGGATCAAAGGCACAAATGCCGCATCTGGGGTCTGGGGCCTGGGCTTTGCCTTGTCATCCTGGAGATCGATAGTCAGTGCCAACAAGCACCCGAAGTGCCAACAAGGAGCAACTGAGTGGCCCAATCCCTGTGAAATACCAAGGAAACGTCTCGGCGGTTAGTTGGGTAGTCCGTTTTTTCTTAAAAGCCTGGCAATCATGTCTCAGTCTAATCGTGTGTAGCACCCTCCCCTATTTGTGTGAACCCACATGGCATATAATGATTTGCAATCGAAACTCAGGGAACCTAAAGGTGGCAATACAATTCCCTACAAGGTCACAAAGCCAGTCCCTTTGCGAGGTCGATCGTTTCCATTTGCCCATGTTTGGAGGTTCCTCGGACGGGGGTCCGAACGTCATGTATGGTAAAGATTATGTTTGTGTATTTCTCAAACAAATGTATCAGTGGACGGGGGGGGCTTGCCCAAAAGGAAAGTTGTCTTCCAAGCCCCTGTCAGCTTCCATGTGATTTGAGGGGCTTGTCCATCCTGAGATAAGCGTCGTTGAGACCCCACCTTCACCCTTGACACGCTCGTTTCTTGTCGCCCGAGGCGCCCAGTCGTCATAGAACCCCTGGAACATGACCTGCAACTGGACGGCGCTCCGGACAGCATCGGGTGCCACTAGACTGGGTGATGAGGCAACATGCCCCCAAAACTTAACAAACAAGGTGGTCTGCAAGTGTTACAATTCTTCCAAAACCTGAAATGAGGGATCCCCAAGTAAAGAATCTTTACCACGAGCTCGTTTTGCCCCCAGGTGCGCTTGCTATAACGTAGGCAGATGTGATCTCGCTGGAGGGTAAGAGGAGCATGCCAATGAGCAAAACTGGGCATGACGGAATATAATGCTCGCAAGGAAAAACAACATGTGAAGTTGTGATTCCTGATGTAGACACTTTCCAATTTGTTGCAAGCTTCTATTATCAAACCACTGCCCCCTGTTTAAACCTGACTACATCATACTTAAATAAGCCGCCCCTTGGAACCTGCTCCGGGCGCCTCAGGTGCCTACGATAGTTGGTCACATTTGCCTTCTGCCTGCCGCGATCACTATCACGGTCGTTTCCAATGCGCTAAACACCATGTTCTACATTATCAGCATCTCAAGCACAGCCAGTCCATATAGTCAGAATCATGGTCTTCAAACGCCAATCTGTTGCCCTGTAAGAAGCGTGACCATCATCCAATCATGCAACGACGGGCAACAATCTCCCTCTTCCTTGCCAACGTACCTTCGCAAATTCCCCAAAATGATAGGCAGGTGACTAAGTTCCAAATATCGGCCGTTCTCTCTGCCACATGACAGTATCTGCTTGTCCATGCGGGCTAACTTTCTACAAACAAAAGGTGCAAAAGGAAGGAACAACCACGAGAGTCGCGCATGTGTGTGTGTGTGTGTGTGCTCTTCTTGCTTCCTATCTTGATCCGACCATAATATTTCTATTATGTTTCAAGGGCGACCAAAGGGCACAGCTCTGTTTTAGGGTTGCCTATGGAAGCACCGTCTTTGACCCTCAATTTAGGGGTTTTACACCAAATGTTACGAGGTCTTTATGATGCAGGAGGGGCAGTTCTTGCAACGTCACATCTGTATCATCGCCGTCAACAGTCGCCGGTAGGAAAATGCTACAACTAGGTCCAGCAAATCCAACCAGTCTGGCAACCTAGCAAACAAACTCATGACTTAAACAAGGATCAAACGCAAACCGGCCCGGATGAAACCAGCTCATGGTTGAAACAAAACCTGGAGCAAACGCCAAAAAAAAGGTCACCCATATTTTACGCAACTAGGTCCTCCAGTAGAGAGGTCAGAATAAGGGTACCGGTTCTTTTTTCTGTAGTCTATTTTAGTAGGGGAACGCTCCCAACGAAGAAACAAAACGGTAAAAGGGCACCTAGCTGGGGGACCTACGCCAGCCAGATTTCTCTACCCCACCTCCAGCTCTGCTCTTTGGCTTGCATTCAGGTCCGGCTCAACCACCTGAGCGTGAAGAGTTCAGCCAGTGACGGCGTGGGTTGGCTGCTGGACCCACTGAGCTTCGAGACGTAGTCGTGAATGGAAAGCAAGTGGAGAGTCGAACTCTGCATCTCAAATTCAGTCATGTGAAGTGTC